TGGCGGTGGTTTAGTTTTCCATTTTTATATTCTGATGAGAAGATGTTTTTTTTGTGGGTTTGTGTTGCGTGTGTGGTATGTTGGTAGATTTTGGTGGTTTCAATGCTTCTAGTATATGCTAGTAGATTTTGTGTCTAGTAGATTTGGTTTTTCCATGGCTAGTTAAATGCTTTGTAGATTTTGTGTCTTGTATATTATTAGATTTTGGTGTTTCATGGCTAGTATGCTTGTAGATTTTGTGTCTTGTATATTATTAGAATTTTGGTGGTTTCATGGCTAGTATGCATTGATAGAAATTTTTACTGTCTTGTATATTATTAGATTTTGGGGTGTTTCTATGCTTGTAGATTTTTGTGTCTATGTATGTTTGTAGATTTTGGTGTTTTTTGTGCCAGAGTATTCGTTGTGGCGTTTTATGTTTAGTAAATAGAAGGAAATTTCGTCATTTGATGTTTTATTATTATAGTATTTAACTTCCCTTATTCAAGTCGGCTTATTTTTACGTATTATTCGCGTGCTGTAGAGCATAAAGGCGACAGTCAATGGCTGATAACTTTAGTGATTGTGTATGTGTTAATGTGGTGCTTTATTATATGTATAATGATATAATGTGGTAATGCCTGTAGGTTTGTTAGAGAAGCCGAGTATGTATTGGAAGTGTTGGCTGTAGATGAAAATGTTGACGTTGAACACGGATTTTCTGCAAGGTCAAAAGGGACTGCAAAGGGAAAAACAACAACAAAACAAAAAAATTCACAGCATTTGATCGTGAAGTCGGCATCGAGGGGGAGCCGGAAGTTGACGTCATAGCAACGTTTCCATGCGATGGCCGGTCCCGTGAAGAATTATGATGCCGGAATAAAAAGAGCGAATGGCTTACGATTGGTTGTAAGTAGAGTGAAAATGCTCATAATGACAGCATGTTCTTTCTCCGTCGAAGGAAACACGTAAACAACTAGATTTTTTTTTTAGAGTGGTAATATTATGGCAAAATTTTGCGGCTGATTTCCTTTTATAGGTATTATTTGTATTTCACATTTGCTTTTGGAAACGCTACCATTGCAAATGACGTAATAATTTAATGATAATAAGCAGGGCACATGCATGGAGCTATGGCCATATAAAAGAATAAAGCGAGTGAGTGGAGGAGTGCAGAGAGTGGAGAGTGAGAGAGTGAGAGAGCTGAGAGAGTGAGGAGAGTGAGAGATCCAGTGAAGACTGCGAGAGATAGTGAGAGAAGATAGAGAGAACGTGACAAGATGAGGAAAGAGTGAATAAAGACGTCTTGAAAGAGCGTGAAAGACGCTGAAAGAGTGAAGACGTGAAAGACTGAAAAGTACAGTGAAAGTGAAAGAGTGAGAGAGTGTGATAACGTGAGAGACGTGAGAGAGTGGGAGAGGATGAGAGAGAGAGAGAGGAGAGAGGAGAAGAGAGAGAGGAGAGAAGAGAGAGAGAGAGAAGAGCAGAGAGAGAAGAGAGCAGAGAGAGAGAGAGAGTAGAGAGAGTTGGTTTGGCCCGTGAGTGACGTGAGTGAAAGAGAAACGAGAAAGAAAGAAAGGAGACGAGAGAAAAAAAAAGATTGCGCCCCCCTCGCCCTGTGCCTGCCATGCGCCGTCCAACACCTGCTCCGAACCCTGCGCTTGCGGATGACGGCGGCTCTAGGCCAGCGCCGGGCACGTCACACGGGCCCAGCCCGTGTGACGGGGGTGGGGGGGTAGCGAGGGGTGGGGGGGGGGGGTCCTTTCGCCTCTCTTTTGACAGGTCTCAAGGATTCTGCTCTTGTTTTGCTGTAACGCTTGAATCGTGGTCCTATTCTCTCTCTTTTCTCTCTCTGTCTGGCCTGTCTCTATGTCTTTTTTACTCTTTCTTTCTCTCTCTCTTTTTTCTCTCTCTCTCTCTCTCTCTCTCTCTCTCCTCTCTCTCTCTCTCTCTCTCTCTCTCTCTCTCTCTCTCTCTCTCCCTCTCTCTCTCTCTCCCCCCGTCTCCCTCTCTCTCTCCCTCCTCTCCCTCTCCCTCTCCTCTGCTTTCCCTCTCTCTCTCCCTCTCCTCCCTCTCTCTTCCCTCTCCTCCCTCTCTCTCCCTCTCCTCTCTCTCCTTATCCGTCTGTCTGTCCGTCAGCTCCCTTTCTTTTTCTATTGCATTGAACGGTGAGCCTTATCGCAAAGTGTCAGCGCTCGCGGGCGGTCTCGCCAGCACCAACCGACACGTGGCTGGGTGGCGCGGGGCCAGCGTAGCGAGGGGCAGGGCGCGCAGATCAGTGTCTTAGATCATTGCCAAGGGAAGTGGCTTACACCGCGACCGCCCTGCGAATGGGCTCGCATGGTAATATATATTNCAGGAGCCGAGGAGGATCAGAAGAGAGGAGAGAAGGAGAAGAGGAGGGCCAAATGGTAGGAAGGAAGAGTAGGCCACGAGGAGAGGAAGGATAGTCGAAAGACTCGAGAGTGGACGCTGCTTTTTATATTTAACTTTTTCGTGTGTTAGGTTCCCAAGGGTCACCCCTGATATAGATAGTTTTAACAATATACATTTATTTTCTCAATCTGATTATTGTTGTTTCCTCCATTATTTTCTTCTCTTTCTTGCAATTTTATATTTGCTTGTCTATTGCTATGATTGATTAATCTAGATCTTACTCATCTGATGCTCTTTATTATGCATATTTTATATAATATTTACTTTATTTTATAATATAATAATAATGTTTTTATATAGTATATTTTCTATTATATATATATAGTATAATATATATATATATAGAATGATAGATAACAACTACATATTGCATGATATGTATATACTATGCATATAGTATATATATATATATATATATATATATTATATATATTATATATATATAAATATATATATGTGTGTGATTGTGTGTGTGTTGTGTGTGTGTGTGTGTGTGTGTGTGTGTGTGTGTGTGTGTGTGTGTGTGTGTGTGTGTGTGTGTGTGTGTGTGTGTGTGGTGTGTGGTGTGTAAGTGTGTGTTTTGATTACAGAGAAAATAACACATTACATAGAGGATTAATGCAGAGATATTCAGAAAATGATAAACAAAATAAGGCACTATTTGGTCTAATTGATATTAGATATAAGAAAGATTAAGTATTTTATAATTATTATTCATTAAAGTTTTGATACCATACTTATTAATGAAGTGCCATACAGCAGAGCTTCATAACTTATATTTACTGTTTTGTTGAAAATTGATTGTTTGGCAGTACTGTTGTATCTATAGCTCAGTTAATTGTTGATAATAATATTCTTCACTTAGTGAATAACAAAATGGCTAAAAGCTTCATCCTAACCTAATGTCGACGGGAGAATGGTGTGTTCTCTTTGGCAATGCTTGGTTAAATGTTTTTGTACATATATGGCTCTGCCAATGTTTAGCCACAAAAGAGTCAATTAGTAGATCTTGCGACCTCACTTTTCCTTGAAAAAGCGGGAAAATGTTTTCTTTACTAATTCTATCAATATTGACACATTTTAATTACTATATTGTTACTGACATTACTAACAGCAGCAATAATATTAGAAAATATTGAAAATCAGTGAAAAGGGTAAACAGGTGAGACAGGTAATTTGCGTAATTGGCTCATTGGTGACTTAGTACTTGTGGAGCCATCTATATGTAAAAACATTTACTAACTTCAACACACAATGGGCAATGGCATGTACGTACATGCCATGCCTGGTGACTTGGGGTTAACCTAATCACACTAGGAGCCTCCACTGGTAAACTGAACAAGGTGTCAGGGTGCAGGTGGGTGTAGCTATTTGAGGGGAAAAATCGGAAGCAAGGGAAACATAAGATTACCCTTGTCTATGCTCTTGGGTGCAGCATAAACAATTTCTTTTCGGCTAAAAAAGGCCTTAAGCCTACTTTTCAGGGTCTATTTTTCCTCAACAAATGCAACTAGTGGCAAATGTTTTGTAAGTATCTATAATGCATATAATTCATTTAGTCTTGTGTATATAATCCATGGTTGCAGTTGATTCTTTTCACCGGCAATTCTGCATTTCACTTAATGTGGAAATGCTTTTTACACCTATGAAACAAAGAGTTTGTAGAAACCTGTTTGCAAAATGATTCTGACCATAGGTTATTAAACATCTCGTCATTGATTTAATTTTATACTGTAATGTGTTGCTTGTCAGATGAGTACAGATTTATTCAGGAAAGTGACTTATTGTCAATTACTCTTATAAAAAGTGTAATGCTGTATGCTGATACAAACCTGGAAACTAGGGTAGCAAACTGATCTTTAGTGATTAAAGATAACCTGTGGCAAATGCCTAAAGCCTTTCTCAATGGCTCAGTGGGCAAAGATGTCTGGGTACTGTTTAATCCATTGGACATGGGTGCAAGTGATAAATTAAAATTACAGTGGCCAGGTACTAGTATTGTGCCATCCAAAAACATTGGCCATGAGTACAGGTGATAGATTAAAATTACAGTGGCCATGGCATTTACATCATTCCATCTGCAAACATTAAGTGTGCAAGAGTTCGAGGCTCTCTGGTATTGCGAGTGACTAGGACTTCAACTATCCTGTATCCTGAGCACACAGAGGGAGATGGCGACTAATAGAACGTGTAAAATGAGGTTAAGCATCATTTGATATGTGCCTATGTTATTTATTATTAATCTAAAGCCTCTCTCAGGCACTTGGAATTCAATTTGATATTAGCTACTCCCTCGCTCTCCTCTGCCAGTCCAGATCATTTTTTTCTGATGCATTCTTTTATTTCATTATAGTGCAGTTGAGTAGAAATGAGAGAAGGTTTAAGTAACTACATCATCCTTTTACTATTAGGCTCTGTTTATGTAGTGTTTACAAATATGTGCCCTCCTTAATCAATGCAGAGTAAGAAAAGAATATGTTGATCCAGTGACATGGTAAAAGTTGGGTAGGATTTTTTTTTTTTTTTTTTTTTTTTTTATAAGCTGTCTTGGTCAGTATCAAATTTTCATAACACTTTCTTTCCTGGAATACTGGTTCTATAAATTTCTAGTTGAGCATATTATCTTAGTTTTAAGTAGCACTTATATTACTAAGAAACATATTTCATGTCACGATAGAAGCCCTAGGTGTGTAACTTTTCAGATCAGAGTCTGATGAGTATTAGAAATTTTAGTCTATTTTTCTCTGGCTTGATTGTACTTATTCTGTGGAAAATTACCTCTGATATTTTTATAATAAAGCCTCCTTACAGTCACTGAAGTCATAAAGAACAGTTGAAAGTAAAGAATTTGTGGACCATCTTCAAGAACACTGCTTCACTACGTAAATGTTTTCTGTAGTATTGTCTTGGCTCTACATTATACATTACAAATCTAGTGATATGGCCAGTCATATAAATGAGGAGGTCGAAAAGAATAATTTCTGAAGAAAAGTAATTGGAGATGCTGGAGACAGTGGAACAACATTCGATCACAACAGTCTCTTAAACTGCCAAGGTAAAGATATTGTAATGTAGGAGTCTTTTTTTTTTTTTAACAACTCAATGATTTGTTTTGATCTATCCATAATTTGTCTTACATTGCAGATGATCCTTAGTGATGAGACATCGTGTCATAATGTTGATGAAGTCCTTCGCCTAGTCAGTGCCATCCAGTATGCTGATAATACGGGGAAAAGTAAGTTTTTTTTTTCAGTGCTGATATTATATGTATTTTACGTGAAATATAGTGGTTCTGTGATACTCTTTGTCAAATTACGTTATTTTAAGACTAAGTAGTATTAGTGATATTCTGTGAGACTACCATGGGTATTGTCCAAGATTGGGGAAGCGGAAAGATGAGTTGGGATAATCAAAATATATCTAAGGTTAGCTTTGAATTGCTCCATTTTTAAAAATATTCACATAAGTATAAGTCCATTGATCATTTTATCATCGCTTAGTAAATGGTGTAAAAAGTATATTGCTAGAACTTTACTCATTTCAAAATATGTTCATGTCTACTTAATCCACTCATGATGGGATCACCTGGTGTCATACTGAACCGTGTGCAGGGCAGAGTATTGTGGCAAATGCTCAAGGGAGCAGAAATGTACCCCACTCTATGCCCATTTCTGCAGTATATGCTATAGGATATGAGGCTATAAAGAGGTTTGAAGCCTACTTTTGAGGAGTTGTTTCTGCTCAGTGACTGCAGTCAGAGCCAAAGAAGTAAACAGCTGTTATGTAGCAGGCTTTACTGCACATGCCATGGTGGGACATCATTCCTGGCGTGAGTGGGTTAAGTTAGTATCATATTGATAGGTTGTATAGATTTCAGTAATAGTTTTATCTTCATAATGCTTGCTCTACACTGATATTTAGGGCAGAAACATGTATGCTAACTTATAAGATTCTTTTATGTAGGTTTTTACTGAGCTTTTGTTATCCAGCGAAAGAAAATGTGTATCACCAATTTGTCTTAGGAATATATGTTAACCAAGTGCATAGGTAATATATGTTCATGGAAAAAAGAACACATTATTCACCACTTTGATGGAAATTCTATTTATTGTGAGTTTTATTATGATGTTGCTTCTTCATTTCTTTTATGACGTAATCTCATCATCATAAATAGTAAGCAAATAACTTATTGGCCTCTTCTTAGGGGTATGTGACACACCTGTACTTATCCTCGCATTTCTAGTGCTAGTGTAGAGACAGTCCAAATTAAATCTAATAATATGCTGTATCTGCTTTTGATTTTGATATGCAAGTCAATAAACTAGCCCAAAAAGCAATTTCATCTAATCAATTTTCTTCATATTTTTAGAATGTGTTTAGTAGATCCTATATATATTGTATATTTCTTTTTTTTTTGTACCATGATGGATTTTGCTCACAAAAAAGAGCAGTTTTATTGTAAGGACATAATCCACTATCTATTAGGGGTCGATCAAAGAGAATTGCCAGAAGAAAATGCTTTTCTTTCCTCCTTTCTTTTCTGTATTAAACCAGAAAGGTGATTGGTTTTCTTGTATGTCTTAGAGAAGGGCAGTTTAGGTTCCAAAATGTTTCCTTATTTTGTTGTCCACTTGTCAAAAATATTAATATATGGCTTTTTCCCCATCCCCCAGTAGAGCAATAAGCAACGAGGATGTAGGTCAAGTATCATCCATGAGCTATGTTGATAGGGTGACCCTGATGGATTGTTATTCCTAGCTTGTACATTTTGAAGTATATAACATGAATGATTTTTTCTCTGCTCTGATCTGTTCTGTTTTGCATATTTTCTTAAGAAATAGGAGAAAAATAAAATGGTGGATACAAAAAAAATTAAAGTAGAAAGTAGAGTCAGTTCTTAATTTTTTGTTGCACATTTGTTGAGAGTCAATATGTTGGAGTACTGAAATCAGCCTCTCCACAAAGATAAGAGAAAGTGCCGAAGGCATGAACCAGCATGTGGAGTTAGATAAATAAAGTCATGAGGAGAAAGAATATGTCTTACAGTTTATGATTATTGTTATCATCATCGTCATTGTCATCAAAATCATTTGTCACTTGTCACTGTCACTGTCATCATCACCATCACTGTCACCAGCATCAATATAATTTATTTTGTTCTTGATTTAAGTTTATGCATATTAGATTGAAGTTTATGCATATAAGTCCATTGGTCCATGAATATTTTCCTTTTTTCACTTTGACTCCCTATTTCTGTAAGTAATGTCCGCTTGTTATTGAGATTTTAGTACAACATTTTATAAGCACTTTGTTTGTGAATGCGCTAATTTTCCTTGTTGTATGTGATCAGGATTATTTATTTATTGACTTATGGCCAGTTTGTCTAAATTGTGTGAGGCCTGACCCATTGCATATCTGTTTATCTATCTGACATGCATACATTTATCTGTCTAGGCTATTTATCTGGTAGATATGCATGTCTCTGTGTATATACATGTCTGTATGATGAATACTCATTGGGTTGGGTCTCACACAAATTTTACAAACTGGCCAATACACACCTCACTATTTGAGGATGGTCTTGGCCAATTATTTAAGTACTAAAGAACTCTCAAGCTGTGCTTTACTAATCTACCTGTGTGAAACTCCCTTTGATATTCATTCTTAATTTGCCCTATTTTCCTTTTAACTTTTCTTTTTGTGATTTGCAGTTTGCCCGGGCAACTGGAAGCCAGGAGATGAGGGCCTCTCCAACCATTGCCCAGTGCAGCAAGTGACCTCGGCATCTAAGTAGTGCGTTCCTAGAATGTGTCCCGAGTCATCTGAACATTCAAGGGTCTTACTGAAAGAACTAGACAGAAAAAATCTGCTGTTCCCTCCTCCCTGGAGAGAATGAATTTGAATTTTGTTTTATGTTTCAAGGTGGTATGGATGCTTGGGCACTAGTCATCATATATGCGATATATTTTTTTCTGCAAGTTCCTATGTCATTGTTTTTTTTTCCTTTTTTTTTTTTTTTTGCCAACCTGTTTGGCACCAATTTTATGACAGTATTTCATACATGGTATTTAGATTTGTTCTCTTTTAGTATGATATTAAAATATTTCCTCATAGGGGACATTGCGTAGACATTTTTGTATCCATTGTGACAGTTGAAATGCAGCTAGTAAAAGAAGGTACTAATGAATGGAATATTACGTACAAAACATTGCATTTATCTGAGAGGAGGTTTTATGAGCGGTGTGTTGTTCAATGTGATAAGGAGCTGTGATAAAAGGTCCTTTATATTTTTTTAAGTATGGCTGAATTTACAACTTCCTGTAGCATTATGTTTGTCAGTCAAAATCCAAACTCAAAGTTTGTGAAAAGTTCCACAGTCAGTAAGATACTATTAGCTAAGGTTGCATACATTTGTAAAATGTAACATGTATCTGTGTTTTCATGTTGTGAAAATGAACTTAGACTTTTGTACTGTAGTATTCAGATTTCAATAAGTATTGTAAGTTTTGGATACTTAATAAGCTTTGGAAAATGTATAAATGTTCCATGTAGCAGCTTTTTGTGGATCTGCTTTATGTATTTGCTCATGTTGATGACTTCCAGCATTTTTAGAGAAGATCTGATAATTTAATTTTTGTATTAGTTGTTTTTGCGAGTAAACTGTTTCTTTCCTTTGTA